GATAAGGTTCCTGAAGCGGTGGATTGGATCAAGAAATTACTTTTTATGGTTGAAATGGACAAAATGACAAGGAAACTTAATAATTTTAGAAGCAGAAGAATTTTTTGCAGACTGGAAAGATTTTAAAGACTATTTGGAAAAGTATTGGGATGTAAGGGACAGTTTACTTTGCTTTGATAATTACTGCACGTTAATGAATATTAAAAATATAGATGAAGATATAAGGATAAAAATGAAGGGATAAATTACCTATGGATATGTATACAGAAATAGAAGGGATGAAGAACATTTAAGAACTGAGCAGGAGGTTGGAGCACTGTGGGAACCCATACAGGGGGAAAGGGAGGAGGGTAGGATGTAAAATTGTATACGTTTTTTGATTAATGTTTGACTTTGTTTATTATATTCTAATAAAATGTTTTCAAAAATAAAAATAAAGGTTTAGACATTGGATTGTAATACCTTTCCCAGAACTATTTCTTTTGCTAGACCCCTTTTGCTAGCTTTTCTTACATCTTTGTCATTTTTAAAAGGGACACAAAACAGCTGTAACAATATGTGGCGGAGTACAAAACACAGTTCAGAGTTATATTTTTACGGCTTTCTGAGACTTTGAATAGGCACCCCGGCTTCTCAAACATGCCTGGACACGCTACCACTAAAAACCTGCACCCATATATTTATCAGAGCTGCAGTAATAACGATAACTTTAAAAAATAACTTTAAAAAACACCACGCATAACCACAGTCCTAAAGCATGAAAACACTTTCACAAAAGTTTATGAAAGTTTACGAATTATGAAAATAATCCATTCCACAACAATTTTAAGAATCAGCGCATGTTGCAGCTAAAATTATTTTCCCTAGATACAGACGCCGACAAGCTCATAGTTATATTTTAAGTTTATCATTTTCAATTGTACTACAGATGTGTAAAAATATTACAGAAGGATGCACGCTAAGAAAATTATACAAGTTTTGACAGAAAATTAAGGAACTTTAATAGTTATAAGACCGGGACTGAACTAATTATACATGTGCCAGCGAACACACACACACGCGCGGAAACCTGAAAGAGCATGAAGAAAAGGCTGAGAGGTTCAGCGTTGACCATTTGGTAAAGATTTAAGTGTTGAAGTCATTGTGGGCCATGAAAACAGAGACAAGGAGTAGAAAGGTGATGAACTATTACAGGAAGCCAAGAAAGGATTTGGAAAGAGCAGCCAATTTTTGGCTGTTGTAACTTTTGCAGTTGTTAATAATACAACAATCAGCTTTTTTCTTATGACGGGTGGACTCAAAATTATTTTCAGTATCTTGGTATACTTCTGGATCTTTCGGACCTTGTTAAAGTTAACTTTTCAAATATTCATAAGAAAGTTGCCACTCAATTATCTAATTGGAACTCTGGAATATTTACAGGCCCACCATGTATGCCAATAACCAGGCCGTTCCCCAACACCTTTTCCAACATAACGGTGAAACTTGTGGGACTATATGCGAGATTTTTGCCTGTTTCAAATATCGCTTCAACAACAGTTTATTAGATGCACCTTGAATTTCTAAGGATTTTGAGATCACCGTATATTCTCCCATTGTTCGTCACTAATTATTTGTTGGAGACCTGAATGCCACGCAGATTGATAACTCATTGTTTTCATATCGGATCTTTCAAGAAATATTTGGTAAATCTTGGAGATTAAACCTCTTTTCTCATAGCTTTTAAATAGTATTCGTTCAAAGTATGTAATGGGAAGTGAGCTTGACTGCTTAAATCCTGTGAATTCTATTAAAAGCCTTAATTGTAAGTATTCAAACCAATGAATTTTAATATTGTGTTGTCTTTCTAGTTCAGTTTTCGTGAGAATCTTATTCTCTTGAATTACAGCAATTATTCTAGTAATGCAGACCAATCTTCAGGTAAGGCACGTATTATGTTATTTCGCAGGTTTAAACCAACGGCGGCTTAGGAAACCTACAGGCAAAATTAAGATGCCTGACAACCAGCTGTCCCACATATGATCAGCAGGCTTCTTACTAACCTTCTCTTTTTTCTTTACCTTCTTCCTTAACTTCAAGCTCCCTAAATAACAATTAGAAACCCCCTCCCCAAGCCATATTTGCATTTTGATTGTGGGGCAATGAGTGTTCCCCCGTAGGGATAGTGCTTCAGTGGGATTGCCTGGTGCCCTATCTTTGACATCAAACTTACTAAAAGGCCTGGTATGCCCAAATGAGCATTTTTGGGGGGCCCAGATATTGGAACATCCAGCTCCAGACACCTTCAAGAATAAGATGGCTGTGGAAAAGAAGGGCTGTTGCGGTGGCCAATAGGAGCGGCCCCCAAGGTGGACATGTCCCATAGTCTTCCCAAGACCCAGCAACCCATTCACTACCCTGCAGGGGTTGGCGTTGAAAGAACAAAAAGCCTCCAGAGACAGCACACCCCACCCCTTTCTTATCAGAGTTCTGCAGATACAGCCCAACCCTGCCATGGTTTTAGAAACTGCTTAATAACTTTTCTGCAAAGACTTTCCCACAATATTGATTCATAGTTTGACTCCAAAATTCAGAATTTCAGCTTGTCCTACCTTGCCTGGTTGTCATTGAGAGCAAAAAAGCCAGACTGGGCGGTCCAACCCCTTGCCACATTCTGCAAAGACTTTTTTTTTATTCCACAATATTTATTTCCTGCAGGCCATGGGCCTCTGAATCCTGTTTTTCCTGCAGGCCATCCGTGGCATTTTACTACATGCAGGCAGGCACAGAAGGGGTGTGTATGTGTGTGTGTGTGTGTGTGTGTGTCTGTGAGACACTCCTGGGCACGGTGCTGCATGCTTTGAGGGAGAAAACCTGCTAGCTGCAGGTGTTTAAGACTCCACTCCTGCTTCTGCAACAAGTGTTGTCACAATATTTTATTTGTAAACTCCCTGGACAATTTACAGAAACTTTCAGAACATCCGAATATTGAAATACTTTGTGCATCTGAGCGGTGGCAATAAAAAAAAAAAAAATGCTGCTAGCTTCAGCCATGCCTGCATACCGGCACACACTCTTTGGCCGCAATGAACATGTGTTTTATTAGACGGCTAAAATATACACAGGCCCTAATCACTTTTTAAAATCCTCACACTATGGGTTCATTCAGTTTGAGTCCTGAAAACACATTTTTTTACATTTAGTGGATCTTTCTTGGCCAGGAGCAGTCAACATTTATTTAAAAAGTCTGAATGGTTTAAAAAACAGCCCCTGGTTAAAAGCATAGAACACAGCCTTCACCCCCTTCTAGTCTCTGAAATCATTTTTTCCTGCAGGCCTTCCCTAGCATTGTAATACATGCTGGCATGCACAGAATTTGTGTGTGTGTCTGTGTCTGTGTGTCTGTGTGTGCGTGCTGCATGCTTTGAGGGAGAACCCTGCAGCATGCATGCATGGGGCCCCTTGCAACAAGCACTTTGTCATTCACAAAGCCAAGACAAGACTTCACAGCTTTTCACATTCAACATTAAAAGCGTGAATGGTTTAAAAACAGCGCACCTGTTTACAACCCCTTAAAACTCTGCCTTCTAGTCTGTTTGAATTCAATTTTACCTTGCATGAAACTGTCCATAAGCTGCAGGCCATCCGCAGAACAGTGCCTTCCATGGCATTTTAAAGACAAACTGATGATCTCCCATGTCCTACCTTGCAGGGCTGGTGTTGAGAGAGAACAACCCTCCAGAGACAGCACACCCCACCCCTTTCTTATCAGTGCCCTGCAGAACCCAGCCAGGGCCTGCCTCACGGGGGTGGAGTTGGGAGGCTGCAGGGGAGGAAGGGAGGGGGGAAGGGGGGAGTTCTCTCTCTGCCTCTCTGTCTCTGTCAGCACATGCTGTGCTAAGATCTGGGGAATCTTAGCCACCTCCCCTGCTCCTCCCCCTCCCAGCCTGCGCGGGCTGTTCCAATTCTGTCGTGTCATTGTCTCTGCCTGCCTGCGTTGCTGTTGACTCATTCTCCGGTACACAGCCTGGCTGGAGGAGTTTGTCTTTATTTCTTTTAAAAAGGAAGGAAACTGTGGGGTTGGTGTGTTTTGTGGTGTTTGGGAAGGGGACTCTGGTAAGTTAAAACCCATGTTTTAAAGACTGTGTGGTTCAGCTTTTCATCTATTGCTAGAACTGCTGGGGGGAGGGGGGTTTCCCTTGCTTCTAAGACTGCCTGCTTGCTTGGAACTAGCAACACCTAAAGGGTTTTTGCTCTGTTTGTAGCCTGTGCTCCCGTGTGTGTGTGGGGGGGGGGAGGACCTGTCTGCGCTAATTTTGGGGGTCTGGCATTTACAGAGTCTGTACATAGAACTTTTAAACCCTTTTCCCTGTGTGTGTGTGTGTGTGTGTGTGTGTGCGCTCTGTTAAAACTTTGTAGCCTCTCGGCACTGTGGCCAGAACAGCCTGCGTTTTCTAAATGGCAGAGAGTCTTTGGCTTGCAGCCTCTCGCCTGTCCCTGTGATCACTCTGGGGTACAGGGGAAGGTGGGGGTATGCAAGGATGGGGTGGTGGGTCCCCAGGATCTATCTCTGGGGGTCTGGGGCAGTCTTCACTTAGGCTTTGGGGGTTCCAGAGGTCTACAGGTCTCTGTCTCAGGGGGGCTGTCTGTGCTATTTTTTTGGTTTCTGGGTGGGAGGCTCTCTCTGGAGCAGGCAGTCTACAGTAACCAATGTTAGCACAAGCATGGCACAAATCTAAGACACTTGCTGCATACAGCACTCGTTCACAGTAAAAAGCACCTTTCACAGTTTTCAGAAAAACCCCAGCCACAAAAAGACCATCCTTTGCCACCCAAGGGGTCAAAAGCACCTTTCACAGGTCCCAGACACCCCCAAAACACGTTCAAAGCACCCCAAAACAGTCAAAAGCACCCAGGGACTCCATTTTCCCTCCCCCACCTCGCAGAATCAACCATGTGCTCCACACGCCAGCCCAGGGGGAGGGGCGGCCTGTGGCCGCCCCCCACAGCCCCGCCCCTACCAGCACACCCCTCTCAGGGAGGCGGGACTTCCGGTGGGAGCACTCCCCCACCAGCACGGCCCTCTCAGGGAGGCGGGACTTCCGGTGAGAGCACTCATCAAAGTTGATGATGAAAAAAGAGGTATACCCCATATCTTCTCATGTCCTTTCTCTCCTCAATAGGAGGAAGGCGCTGCACCATCAAGGAGCCAATCTCCTGTGCTCTGCCATCTCAAAACTCTGCCGCCCCAGGAATACCGTATTTCTGGTTCTTGGAAGCGGGTTTTCAAAATGGTTTCCCTAAAAAATAAAAAATAAAATGTTTCAACACAAATACATTTGAACAGAGCACTCACAATAGCTTGTGCTGAATGGCAGAAGGGATCATGCAAATTTGCTTATGAGACAGGGCTCGACACAGTACAAAGGCAAGTACTTACCTCGCTGGCTCTAGTGGAAGACTTCTTTGGCAAAGGGCCACTGCCTTGCGCAGCTACCGTGGAGTTCCCACTCCCAAGGGAGGGGGGGAGGAAGGGGGTAGGGATGGGTTCCGCCTCAGGCCCCCCATTCCAGCGGTTCCTCTTGGGAAACAAGGGAATGGGAGGTCTGCAGCTGGCATGCCCCTAGTTCCTGTTCCTTCACCACCCCCAATCACTCACTGTTCCATTCCCTCCAGCGCCCCAGCCATTGGTTTGGGGGGGTGGCGGGAGTGGAATAGGGAACGGTGGGGCCAGTGGAGGGAGGGGAAGCAGGAACAGCGGAGAGGGGAGGCGAGGCAAGGGAAGACGGGATGGCAGAGACAGAGCAGGAAGAAGAAGAGGAGGAAGAGAGGAAACAACAAGCAGTGGGGATGGTGGAGCTAATGGGTTAGGAGGCACAGTGGAGGGGAGGGTAAGTCAGAAGGCAGAGTGAAGGAAAGCAGTGGCAAGAATGAAAAGAAGAGACAGAGAAACAGAGACAGAGTTAGTGGAGAAAGGGTAGTGGAGGAGGGGGTGCAGGTGAGCTGGGGAAGGGAGGGGAGGGAAACCCCACTTCACTGCTTCTTCAGCCCACCCTTCGCTGATCTTGCTGTTTCTGGAGCCTTCGAAAGAACACAGAGAAAACAACAATTATAAAAACCCATTCAAAGCCACAATGGAAAACTCCAACTTGGAGTGCCAGTCAGTCAAAACTAGACTAGCCAAAGGCAGTCTTCAGCAAAACGGCCTTCGTCTGCCCACTTCGCCATTTCCCCACCAGCTTCCCCATTCAAACTCGCCACTGACCCTCTGGATGGCTTACCATTAGCCCATTGGCGGGCCTCTTGGTTGACAGCCTCTCTGCTGTGAACCCAACAGCTGAGGCTCAGGCATACTTATACACCTCTGGCTCCCAGGGACTTTGTGAGGCTGGCACTGTGGCATCAGTGTGAGGAGGGCCCAGCATCTGGGTGACAGGGACCGATCTCTGGGCAGCAGGGCAGACGAGGGACTGGGGGGGGGAGAGGGGCCAGCCAGTGGCTTCCCAGTCCTCCGGCTCCTCTTGGGGACCAATGGAAGGGGCATCAGAGTTGCGCAGATGGTCCAGAGGATGGAATAAGGAAGGGTGGGGATGCTGGGGGGAAGGGAACTGGGGACCTTAAAAGTGGTCAAAGGGAAGGAAAACATGTACAGTGGGCGTGGTGGAGGGTAAGGATTGGGGGGCTGTGGTGCTTGTGGAAAGGAGAGAAGAAGCTGCCCCTCTTTCCTATACCAGGTTATGGGCTGATGGTCATTCCTGAAGGGTTGTGAAGGTTCTAATCCCTTTAATGAAAACTGCTAAGAAAAAGACGGTGACGTCCTTCTTATTGGGGAGACTGTTTTTCCTTTAAAACACACTATGATCACATATACTTGGCAGATTACTGCTGCCACCAGGAATTCAAAATTTCTCTATTAGGGCAGAATGATCCTGTGTCTGGGCACTTCAGAGGACTATGTGGCCCTGAGGAAGGACTGTTCTGACTGCTGGAATGAGTTTAAACAAATAATGGTTTATTTATAAAAGAATAAAATGTTTCTGCATATTTTGAACTCTTGAAGAAAAGAACTTATAAATATAACTGATAAAGCTGGGCATCACACATGGTCTCTCAAAACACAAATACTCAACTCTGACAGCTTTAGCCACACAGGCTAAACCCTGCCTCTCTTAGACACAACCATTTGTCTTAGCCACACCGGATAGACTCAAACTGCGTCTTCTGCCATGCAGGCTAAAAAACTAAGCTCCCCACACTCGTCTCTCCAAAACCCGAAATCACTTCAGAGACACCCCTCCCCCCACTCTCTCAGTCATCAGCCAGTCACATCACACTCATCTCCCTCCATCACTCTCCTTACATTACTGCAGTCAAACTAAACATTTAAAGAAACAAACACACACACACCAAAACATGAAATCATTACAAAGACCATCATCAGATTCATAAACCGTCCAGCCATCTTCAGCTGCCATTCTAAAAGGTAGGGTTTTGCCTTGGAAACCATTTTTGTTTGGAATATGACCATGGAAAGACGGGGCACACTGAAGAAAGGTCACTTGCAAGGAGCCGGTCTCAACCAACCCTTTGCCTCCCTGGCTCTGCCATCATCCCTCCAAATATACTTCCATTAACTTCTTGAGACCTCCTGCCTACAGCTTCTTTCTTCGATTCCGGAAGCTGATCCCTAGCTCACTTCATCCCTGGTCCTGCTGCAGTATCTCAGCTTCCTCCAAATGTACCCACACGGTCACGTTTGAAGAGAAGCCCTGAAGTGCTTTGAGAATACTTCTGAAGAACTGTTATTTGCGATAAAAGTCTGTTGAGTGTACACTCCCCCCCATAGATATTGATTCATGAACATGATAAACCAAACTTTTCTTAACCAATCTCAACTGTTAGGATATTAGTATAGTTAGTATATTAGATGCGTGTTATTGCTAGGGACCGTCATGCCACTCTGAAGGCTGTCATTCCAGTCCCAGAGCACTGTTTCTATTCCTAGAGGCTGCCATGCCACTCTGGGGGCTGTCATTCCAGTCCCAAAGTATTTCTATCTGGGCCCTCAGACATTAACAGAAAATTTATTCTGCATTTTCTTTGCAACGTTTTTTGTGTTGCAATGTATTTCAATAGAAGAGTACTGAATTCCTGGCACTCAGCTGTCATCAGCAGGGCAAATTTGGGGTGGGGTATTGCCCATTGTCAGCCCCCCTCATGGCTATGGGCCTAATCCTTTGGCAACCATTTTGTGATTGGCTTCATCTCTTGTGGCAGCCATTTTGTGATTGTGACCATCAACCTGTATCAGAACTCTAAAAGTGCCCGCAGGCTCAAAAAGGCGAAAGACATCTGCTTTCTATGTTATACATAATCCACAAAGTCCTGACCTGGATAGTGCAGGCAAGCCCAGTCTTGGAAGCTAAGCAGGTTGACTCTGGCAAGTACTTGGATGGGAGACCCCCCTTGGAATACCAGAGGTGGGAGGCGGGGGCAGGCCTCATTCAGCCACCTCTATGAATATCCTCCCGGCCCCCAGTAGGGGGCAGGCATCAGAGGTTGCCATGACTTCCAGGTGCACACACACTCCCACACACATGCACATATAAAAATATTTTTTAAAATACCAAAAATAAAAAATTCCCCTTACATAATCCATATAATATACATATATTAAGTGTACTAACTCCCTCCAACAAAAATACTTGCCACTTGTAAATGACACTTTACCACTTGCCAGTAGGGTTGCCAAGTGCAAAAAGCCTACCGTCCGGGGAGCGTCGT